TTTCTTGTTTGGGTAAAAAAATGAAGAGTATTTTTCATCCAACGATGACATCCATCGATCCAAGGGGTAGTTTTCTAGCAAAGGCTTCGAACGTCGCCGGTTAATACGGTCCGTCGCGAAATTTATGGTCGTTCGGATGTCCCGGGCTCTCGATGAACTCCTTTTTCGCGGGCAGAATTCCCCTCGAAGACCGCCCGTGTGTGTTTACCAGGGCACACGCGTGTGTCTCTTTATATTCCCGTGTTCCACGGCCGTTATCGATACTCGTCCCGGAATTGTTGCGGAATCGGTCTCGCGTAACGCGTGTTTCCAGAGGGGGAACCGTCAAAGGGTTCCCGGAGACAAAAGACGGACGAAATACTCCGTCGAAAAAGAGCAAACGAGAAAGGGAGAAGAGGAGGGGGAATATGATTTTAGAAAAGCTTCGTCACGATCGAAAATAATTGTTTTCCTTAGATATTTAGCGCCAAGATTAGATGGCCTGAATGCACGCCAAGAGCAGAACCACTTGCTACGTTTAATTTTAGATGATTCGTGGACGCGCGTGTCTTTGGCATCTGCCTTCAAAAACAGAGCTAATGCAACTATGTATCGTCCATAGTTTTTCTTTGGAAATTTGTAGAAAAATACACACTAAATAATTACAAGTTTTATCTTCTCCCACTGTAAAAATAGAAAAATTAATTCTCAAGTTGAGATGTCCAGGGAAATAAATTTGGATAGGGTTTGTGAATTTTAGCGAGCTTATAAAAATTTCAGTAGTTCACGATGGTTTGGAATAAAAATTTTAGTCTCGCTGAAAATTGCACGGTTAAATGATGGAATTGCTCGTCGATGTAGAACAGTTCGAATAAATCTTCGTTATCGGGAGAAGTAACTTTCCAGGATCGTACGATTATTCGATATTCGACGAGCAGAACGTTCTCATCGTTGATTAATTATTTCCTACGGAGGGAGTCAGTGTTTTCGGGGCAGATATTCAGTGAAGCTGTCGTTCCTTCCGCGGTTTTTACTACTCGAAGACGAACGTTGGAAGAATATTAGAATCGTGAAAGAACACCGTCCTGACTCTCCCTCCCCCTTTTTTACTTTACTCCGGAGGAAGAGAAATTAGAGTTCGGTGGAACCATCCACTTTGTGAATCCTCGAAATTTTCACTCGTAACTGAATTTTCCATGCACGAGAATCGCGGACGTTGATGAAATTCCCCGGACTCTCCGTTTACAAAAATAATTTCACAGCCTTTGTACGCGAACGCTCGAAAGAACAATTTAAGTGCTCGCTGGGGGAACCGTTTCACCGAAGTTTGCAAAAACCGAAAGACGATTAATTAAATTACGCGACGCAAAGACTATTACCGAGTCTGCTATTAATTAAAGTCGCGCGACGGTGTCGTTGATAGCTCGAGCGGTTATTTAGCTTTAATTTACGTTCCTTTGAAAAAAAAAATAAAAAAGGTGTCGTTGGAGGCCCGTAGACTGCGCGAAATATATACGTGGCAGATTTCCTTGACTCCCGCGAGCAATTTGATCAAACATCGCCCGGGTGTCTGGGCTCGTTATGACCCTCGATTAACGTTTCGACTCCCCTCCTGGCGCGTAATTAAAACGCCCCGTCGGGAACCTGGAAGAAACACCCCGGACGAGAAAAAAGACACAATCGAAGGGTGAAAGGGGACGGAGAGATACGTTTCGAAATGAAATACCCGGTATTAGAGGATGTATATCGCGGCCCGGGTAAAATTGAAACGCGGAGGACGCGCGAGTTCCGAGCAATTTTGAAATAAGCAAGGGCAGGGGGACAGGGGGATTCGAACGAACGCCGGTTGGTAAACGATTACGTAAAAGCACGCTTTCATCCGAGGCACGAGGGTGTTTGGAAGTACGCGGAAAGGGCGTGGCGGGTGGCGAAACTTCCGAAAGTGCGATCGCTCGTTTGCGAAAACTCTACTGATTACCGCGAAACGTGACGAAAACTGTACCGCGAGACCGCCGAAATACACAGTCGACGACCTTTTGCACCTCCTCCCCCTGGTTGCTCCTTTCTCTCGCAATTATTAACTTTTTGGTTCGGAGCGAAAGTTGGAAACGCGTCCATTAATCCCTTCACTCTTTATTCAACGTGTATGCTTTTTGGAGAATTTATTTCCGTAGAGAAACGAGGAAGCACTATTTTCTGAGATTCAATTATTGTATAATAACATTCTTGGTTTCATTTTTCCCCATATGAGTTCAACAGAAATATTTGTAAATATTTACGATTCAATTTTAAATAATTTTTCAAACGTATACTATTTAATTTTGTTTAATGTGTTGATTTTAATATATAAGCCTCGTGATTGTGAAACTTGGCATCAAGAACATAACAAGTTAGACTTGTATGACAAAGGGTTAATTAAAATTACGTAACACGCGATGCATCATGAAGTGACAGGTTTCGTGGCTGGTAGATCGGAAGTTGGGCGATATTTAACCGTGATCCGATCGTTGAACTTCCAATTTACAAGCCACGCAACGTGTCACCGCTGTTGAAGCCTTTTACGACCAGACATCCACGTTTGGGCGTCCAAAAGTTCGAACGAAACGTTAGGGAATCGTAATCGCCAGGCGTTTGGAAGACACGAATATTTTTAGACGTTGGAGAAATTGAACCTTTCGCGGTGAACAGGGGCGTGTGGGGATCGAGGGTTGCAATTTTTTCGTAATATCGGTGGAAGTGTGGGCCCCAGGATCTCGTCTAGGACGCTTAACGCGAGCGAAACGACAAAAACAATAGACCGTCCCGAGCACGAGGCAGGATTTATGCCTGGGCTTCCGGTGAAAATTTCGACCCCTTCGCCAGATATTAACACTTGTCATGTGCACTCTGCAGCGCTGGCAAGGAAACATTCCCGGGGCTAGCCGCTCTCGACTTTGATGAAGCTCCCCCGATCTGTTAAGTGTTTCTAGCCTCGCCCGTTTCCTCCCAGCTATCAATTTATTGTTGATTCTCGGCCATAACAAACCGTTCTTGCGTAGAAAAAAAAAATAGTTTCTCTTTTAAGGGGGCAGTCACATGTGAGACCTCAACAAAATCAATTGTGTGTTTTTCTAGTAATTTCTTAAATAATACAAGAAAAAAATTCTTATACTATTCATCTATAACTCCAGAAAATTTCAATGAAATATATTAATTACAAAAATACTTATCACATTTTTAGTATACACATGTTCGTATCGAAAAGTTTTAATAAGAATGCCCCCTCGTTAGTGTATTAATATCACGTTAAGTAAAACAAAATGTCAAGCATTGTGGATTGTAGAACCATTTTTTTTTATACTAATTTTTTTATAAATAAATAATTTATGGTCCAGTTTTATCGTACACTAATCGTACGATCAGTAGGCATTGCTGAAAGTTCTTTGAGTGCATAGAGTCACAGTAAATTTCAAAATAAACATAGAAGATAGCAAAAATTATAGTAGGTGGTATATTCATTGGATAGAGGATGAAATTCCCTTTAAAACGAGCGTTTGTGCGAGTCGATAGCTTTATTAGTTCCGGAGATATGGCGATTTTAATTTCAAGTCGATCGCGTGAGTCCGAAGGGTCTGATTGCGTTTGTTTACATCGCGAGATCAATGAACTCACGTGACCGTAGTAAATAGTAAACGTGACGTCACTCAGTCACTCGGTCAGTGGGTCAACGTACGACAAGGAGGTCCGACGCGTCAGACGGAGACAGAGATAGTCAAATTAAGAAAAATTACCTTTTACATAAATTGCGATATCTAGAAAACGGTAAATCCGATCGGTAAAAACCAAAAGCCATTTTATAGAGGAAGGTTTACCGTCGCTAACAATGGCTTAATAATTAATAAAACACTAGTAGTTTCGGAACTGCAAGTAATTAAAGTTTTAGTAATTTCAATACGCGTGAATAGGCTTCCGTAAGGCGGAGCGTCGAATCTAAAAAATTACCTCTTTACATAAATTACGATATCTCGAAAACGGAAAGTCGGATCGACAAAATCCAAAAGCCATTTTAAAGAGGAAGCTTCATCGCTTCTAACAGTGGTTTAAAAATGGATATAGCACTAGTAGTTTCGGAACTGCACGCGTCCAAAGTTTTACTATTTTTAACGCTCTTTTCATCATTGCTATACATATGTATATCTCCTATTTACATCGGAAGCTAACCAGAATTTGGTACCAAATTCTGTCCAGTTTTTTAATAAAAAAGTTAATCAAAAAATTGCGGGGAAAATGACAAAATTTTACAGTTTTTAATTTAAACTTTCGCTATTTTGCCAATTTTCAATATAAACTAATTATTTTGCTACAGTCAATAACAGGATATCTACCGAATAAAAATCGTTTTGATCATTTTGATTTAACAAAGGATAGTTGAAAAAAAAAATGAATAAAAATGGTTGAATTTTGCCCCGTTTACACTAGATTGCCCACTTAAGCAATCGCTGAATAAAAAATGAATCGTAGGTACGCCAACGATCGTCATTAGCGAGCCGTGTTTTTTTTTATCGTCGAATCAGGTAAAAGTATAGCGCCAATTTCAGTCGAACGCGACAGTATTAACCTTTATTCCGGGCAAGCGACAACAGGATATTGTTCGCGAATAAAGCGTATCCTAATTGCCGGCGCATTGTCCGGAATCGCGGGGGACAGTCCAGCGAGGTACGTTAATTAGTTAGCATTCGATCGATCTCGCGTACCGGGCCGGCGAACACGCCGCGTTAAAACATTGTTTATTTTGGACAATAATGTACCAACGGCAAACGCCGTGGCGAAATGATATTTGCCGCGTTTGCCCAGTTGTTGATATTCATTGGTTGATTACACCATTACGCGGACGCCGCGAATTCTCATCGCGACCGAGCAATAACAGGGAAAATGTCACGCGTTTCGATCCGTGATCGCGTTCGAGTTACGATCTTCGACTATTTAGAACATTGTGCGTTTTTGTTTACCCCTTTCACCGTTACTGACTTTATCTTTTTCTGTTTCAGGCCTGTGGCGCGAAAGCTGAGTCGAATCCGCGACCGATTGCCGAAATAAACCCGCCACAGGTATATTTATCATAATTTTTTAACTGAAAAACCCATATCTCGTGAGAATTATATCTTTGAAGACAAACAGTTTCCGGAGTTTTGTAAATCGTTTAACGTTGACAAGAATATTTCTAATCGTCTTGAATTAATTGCTCGAAATTTCTTAGCTAAAAGGCGACAAATTCTAAGAGCTATATCTCTGAAGACAAACAGTTTCTAGAGTTTTGTAAATTGTCTGACGTTGACGAGAATATTTCTAATCGTCTTGAATTAATTGCTCGAAATTTCTTAGCTAAAAGGCGACAGATTCTAAGAGCTATATCTCTGAAGACAAACAGTTTCTGGAGTTTTGTAAATCGTTTAACGTTGACAAGAATATTTCCAATCGTTTTGATATCTTAGCTAAAAGACGACAGATTCTAAGAATTATATTTCCAAGAAAAATAGTTTCCAGGCTTTTGTGAATCGTCTGACGCGATCGAGAATATTTATAATCGTCTTGGGAGACTCGTCGATGCGTTTGCAAATATTATTAATGCCCCAAGTGACGCGATGATATCGCTTTGACGCGAACGTGGATGCATCATGCAGCGTTGGAGCCACCTGTACTTTGGGGATTAAACGGATACAGTATGAATTAAAGCGATCCCGTTTCCATTCGGTCGCTTTTACGCGATATCGCATTAAGGAAGCGACGACAACGTATTGGATGCGTGGTCACTAAATTCCGACAAGAATTGAAGCTGTACGCGATCGCCATAATTTCGACTTTCAATCTCGAAGCTTTCAGGCTCTCCAAATTTTATTCCCGATATTGCACAATATTACAGAGATTTATATATTTTTTCGTGTCCTTTCGAAGCAACGCGGAGGGAAATGGAACAGGGAACAGGGGATTGCATTTTATTTCGTTAACACGTGACGTGTACGCTAATGGCATCGTAATTAGCCTCGAATATATTTACGAGAACGAGCAATCGAAATGGCACGAGAGAAACGCGTGGGGATCGGATAGTAATAAAAGTTTAATATCGACTCTCGTTCTTTGGAGAAAAATTTCCAGTGTACGTAATAACGAACAAGGTCAGGCCACGACACTCCGATTTCATTTTCAATTTCGTTCCCGTCGTGACTTTGTTATATTAATTAATACACGGTGATAATGTGTCGGTAAAAATATCGCGAATATACACAGTGCAAAATGTCGAACGACTCGTCGCAACAAAACAGAGGGAAGCGCCAGTGCAAGCGAAACTAATTGGAAAATGTATGTTGCTATTAGCAACATGCTTGATCGTTAGTTTCGTCGAATTTTATGGGGCATATTTCGTCGCTCCCATAAATAATTCATAGTTTACAAATTTCTGGCAAATATATGGATGGAAAATGGTTGTTTACATTTTAAGCGACGAGGTTCCCCCGGCAAAGACATTGTTAATACACGTTCCCTTGTTTCGACGTAATTAAATTCTTTTTCAAGTGGAATGCTTCCACTATACTCGTCGAGTACAAAGAGAGTTTGAATCTGAGAGCCTCGAGTAAATAGCGTGTCAGTGTTTACTTTTCTTAATTCCGTAAACGGCGCGAAAGTTAATTATATTTTTATACGGCGGCTGCTCGCGAGATCGGTTGATTAATTAGAACCACGTAATTAAACGGTTTCGTACACCATTTTTCTTCGCCGAGTGGCTCGTTCGCGGAATACTCGATACTTTTTTTTTGTCCTTTCTCGAGTGGACAGAACCGTACGCGGCTTCGTCGATACTTTCGACGAAGATCGCCGCGCGTACATCGTCATTATCGTAGTTAAGTGTAATTAGCGTTAATTGGATGAGGAGAGTGGTCCTATCGAGTCGAAGCGAACGGTCGCTTAACGGCCAATTAAATCTCTTCCCAGGAATTGCATTGGCGATTTCGCTGGCTGTCGCCGTTTTGTTTGCAGAACCCGGAATTTTGCAGCGAAATTTCACTCTTTCGCGTCGAGGGTTTCCCCGGAAAATATTGCGCAATTTTAATCAATTCCGGTTATTTTCATATATCCTCGCACCTTTCTGGAAAGCTCTTTTCACGGTGATTATAAATATTCAAATATCACGGAAACGTAACCGATAACACATGATACTGCATTTTCCGGGAGTCTGCAATTTCGAGATAATCGACGAAAGTCCATCAAACGCTATATTAATTATAAATCATCCAAACCGTCTATTATTCGTGGTTATTCCACGCGAAAAAGGTGAACGAAGCATGTGAAATAGAATTTTTTTTCGAGGCTTTGTTTTCGAAATAATAGAATTCACGTGCCCGGCCAATATTCGTTATTTCTACTTGCGTTGGGTGTTCCGGTAAATATTAACGTCCATATATTGTTTGTTTCAACTAGTTTTAACTAGAAAATGTTGAACGAACCATATAGACGCGTACCAAAGTAGAATCAATGCTCGATACAAGTAGAAATAACCAATAATGGTCAGACGAGTTCGCCGCGCGTGCTCCAAAATGTTCAAACTCAATTTTCTCGAAATGAAAACCTCGCACGGGGAAAAAGTATTCTACAATTTCGGTTCGCCTGTTCACGCAGGGCAACTACCAGCTAACGAACACTACGTATATATCTTGTATTAGCTCGCGTACCTTTTCGTGGTAATTACTTTTTACGTAAACGTTGGCTCGCGAGCGCGTCTAAAATTTGTATTCGTTATTCGTGAATAAATTTCGGCAAGTTTCCCAAGTTGCACGTTGCTTTACATAGCCGGCGGTAAGATGCAAGCTTCCGCGTAAACGGAAGTTCGCGAGCGCGTATAGAAATTTGCGTTCTCGCGGAATTTTACGCGAAAAGCTAAAAGAACGATGAAAAATTCCGGAATCTTCGGTCGCGAAATTCGCTTGAACGGAACGTCGACCGCGATATTATCGGACGGTAACCCGCTTTCGAACGTTCTCGCTAATTTCCAGCAAAATTCTGTAATTTTCACGGATATTAACCGCGCGTTTGGACCATAACGGAGAACATTCGAAATTTAACGGAAGCTTAGACCGCTCTGCCATAATCCAAAACTTTTCATCTCGAAAGTTTGTGTTATTTCAGGCCGAGCTTACCGCTTTTCGACGCGATTGTCTTACCTGGATCCATCGCCGTGACGCAACCCGCGCGAATTAAGCCCGCGTTTTACGTACGGCGTGCACGAATCGTGATTTTCGGACGAGCTGCGTTTATTGTTAGCATCGCCGGCAGAAATTGGGCGGGCGAAACAGCCTTCGAGTTTACGCGACAGGGCTTTATGGCGCGGAGTTTCCTTCAAAGAGATCCTTTCCGTTCTCTCTAATTAAATCCCTGCATCGACTTTGCCCCGGCTGTCGCTGGGTACGAACGTCGACAACAAAAGCTCGGGAAATTCACGCGTGTACGCGGTTGATAGCCTCTTTTTCCACCGACCCGATTCCCTTTTCCCGTCATCCTCGTTTGTGATTCTAATAAGCGATCAACCGTTTGCACCGCGAGCTTTTTCATATACCACCGTTCGAGAGTTCATTTTATCCAGGGCGAAAATTACTATTTTAGATTCTGTACATTAAAACATTCGCTCAATTTTAAACATTTTAACGTAATCTATTTCGTTTTATTTAATTCATCATTTTATCCACGACCTGCGTACAAAAAAAAATATTCTAGACTCTGCACATTTTCTAAAAGATTTGCTCAATTTTAAATGTTTTAATATAATCTATTTCTTTTTGTATTCATTAAGTGTTTTCGATGTCACTGTTTTAATCGAATCGAGACGAGGTTATTGACTCTGTTAAATTATTATAAATGCGTGGAAATTCATCATTGTGTCCACAGCTAAATGAGAAAGAATATTCTATAGATTTATTTTTTTATTTTATTTTAATTCTCTTCCTTTGGTGTGGTTATATTTTGTGTTGGTTTCTTTTATATATTTCAGGGTATTTTCTATACGTTTCTGTGACATCTTGGTGATGTTGTCTTGTATTTTATTCTTTGGACGTAGTATCTTCTACATTCGTATAGTCTATTTATATGTCTTCGAATATCCCATATTTAGTACATTTTCTTTCCCAAAAGATTTTCCCAATTTTGAACGCTTTAATATGAAAATTGTTCTATTTGATGTTGGCTGTTTTAATCGAATCTAGACGGGGTTATTGACTCCCGTTGAATGAAATGCGTGGAAATTCTTGGTCGCGGGGGAGTTCAAATATTTCCTTATTAAATAAATCTCTCGAGTGGGGGGAGCTCGTTCGATAAGAATTTCAAATTTTCTCGTCGGGCAGCATCGAAAATCTTGAGGCACGCGAACGAGCTTGAAATTAAAAGGGCTCCGGATCCACCGAGAAGCCACTTCTGTTAATAAGCTCAACAGGTGCGACTGGTTCGAGGGTAGGGAAGCACAAGGAAAGACGATTCTTGGAAAATTACGTGTAAACGTCGACTACGAGTGTTAAACAAAGATAATCGGAAGTGTTGATTGTTATATTATTGTTATATACTGCTTTGTATTTGAACGTTAGTCGTACAAAGCTGAGTGTTCGACTGATAGAATGTGTCTTTGTTCGAACTATGCGTGTGTATGCATTGGTGCTTCCTTTTCCCAACAGAATCTAAGAAATATATATATATAAATCTAAGGAATAATCTAATCCTAATTTCGATCCTGCATGGTCCAAAATACTAATTTTTTTGCAAAATACTGCGTTTCGACGTTAAGAAAGTCCGCTCTTCGACGACATTTTTGTCAACACGGTTGCGTCAACAATCGTTTCGAGAAGAAAGAATGTTTTCCGCGACCCAGCGCAGAAAATTGCAGTTTTTTTCGGTGCACCGAATTTGTCCACGGCTCGTCAAGCGCGTCGATTGTGCGCGACCGGGGTTCCGAGGAATCGATCGACTTCCGCGTCTACGAAGATCGATCGATCGGCGCTGGGACCGGTCCGTCGAGCTGCTCGCGGTTTTCCGCTCGACTCGTCGCGATGGCCGTACGGAGACGCGTTTACGA